AAAAAATTTGCACAATGAGCCGTGTCATGACAATACCAACGTAATGCATTTTGCGACCAGCATGGATCCAGACCAGCCTGCACGGTCTGGATCCATGCTGGTCGCAAACACATTATGTTGGTTTTGTCATGGCACGGCTCAAATATGAAATATGGTATTGAAATGTAAGTCCAGTGCGATCACTAACAAAATAAGTTAATCGTAAGTGTGTGGCTAAATGCACACGTCCCGTTGTTAGAGACGTTGTCCGGAAGGGAATTTTGAGCTCTGCGCTGCTGACATGCGATGGCAAAGTTATGCACGAATGATCTCTTACTTCAATAATAGGTCGAGTTCTAAGCATTTTCGGTAGAAAGTTCGTTATATGATGCTAAAACTCTATCAATTTTTTTGGTATATCGTCTGACATTATAAAAAACAACAACATAAACATGACATTTACTGTCCCATCCCAACTCACTAAAAATCCTCAGCGATATCCAGGTGCTAAGCTTGTAAATAAGGAATCTTAAAAAAAATGGGGCCCGAAACGTTATCCATTTAACATCGACACAAAACATGTTCAGAGACAGTTTCAATGTTGAATGACATAATTAATCTCACTAAAGAAGGCAGGCATTTTAACATTGTTTATCATGAAATATCGCAGGTTCTCTCTCAAAATATAAAAGCAACACCATAATTGTTCCCAATTTTTAAATGACAATTATAAACGCAGAAACTTCAAATATAGCATGTATAGTTATTTATAAGCTCAGATATTTGATTTATTTTCAGATGTGTTTCTTATATGTAAATTCGACCCTGGCCAATTCGAAACTTATGCTCACAAACCAATCGCAACTACTCGGCCCTTTCCGTCAGTTATTATAGATAATGGCCGAGGCAGTTCCGAATGGCTCACAAACTAGATTAAATTGTTGTACAAAGGGTTATATTATTAAAAGGGGGACGACTTTGCTACTACTAAGACATAAAGCCAAGCAAATCTGGTGAACAATTTCTAGGACATTTTTTTATTTATACTTCGTTGTTAAAGTCGCCAAGCTATCAATAGTAAATTCTTCTTCAGTAAAATTTAGGATATTTTATTACCCCCCTTTCTGTCCTGTTTGTAATTTTTATTCAATTCTAAAAGCCTCCGTTTTGTTTCTTGATTTTTTTCAGTTTGTTCATATTTGCTTTTTACTTTGACCACATACATTATAATAATATTAATTTAAAAATAATTGCTATAAAATTACATCAAGGACAAAGTAAACTTTTGATAAATGCAGAAAAAGCAATTTATTAACGAGAATAGCCTAACAGAGAAGGTTAATAGGGTCAGCTTATAAAAAACAATAATAGAATAAAATAACGTTGTAACTTTATCTCCTCTGCGACAACCCCAGCAAGATTTTTATTGATGTAATTTAACGAAGAAAATACTGACTGTGGAATGTCCCCCGCCTGCATCTGAAAATAACATACTCGATTTTATACAAATGAATGCTTTATAATAAAACTGGTTGTCGGAAAGTTACAGATTTGTTTTCAGACATTTCCTACATGAATTTTCAATCAAATGTCTTTGATATTGAATGATATTATAAAAATGGACAACATTATTAAATACAATATATAAATTATACATGGTAGATAAATTTAGTAAATGATTGTACAATAACTAGGGGCATTGACTGTGCTTATTATTTGACCAACATACTTCTTCTATGCAAATGTCAGGGGCGTCCGTGGCCGAGTGGTTAAGGTCGTTGACTTCAAACCACTTGCCCCTTACCGCTGTGGGTCCGAATCCCGACAGGGACTTTGGATTCTTTCATGTCAGGAAGCTATCCATCAAGCTTACGGAACGTCGGTGGTTCTACTCTAAATAGTGCATGTAAGGGCACATGAGGTCTTCCTCCACCAGTAAAGCTAGAACGTCGCGATATGACCTATACTGTGTCGATGTGACGTAAAACCCAAAACAAACAAAATCATGCAAATGTCATTAAACATAACGGTATCTAAAGGATTGTCATCAAAAGAGTGATATTTCGATAATACACAATATAGTGGCGGTATGCTTAACCCATTACTGCATGAGCATTTTGTGAAAAATGGATGTTTTTATTAAAAAGTCTCCCGTTTCAAATTCAAATTGCTATAAAACTAAAAAAAACTGCTTCAATACTAATTAAACTTGGCACAAATGTTAACTGTACCATTGCCTTTGTAACGACATGCTCAGTCTCAAAATTTCTTATTTCCATGGCAACAAGGAAATTTCTCAAAATTGCCAAAAATCACTATTTTTGTAGATTTTTTTTCCATCAAAATTGATTTCAAAGCAGCAACTTCTCAATGGATTGAGATAGAGTCAAAGGCTTTTCAGCGTTGGTTACACGTTACCTTAAGATCGACCTGTGATAAGTTTAGCCCTTCACAAGTCCAAAATGTTTTGGCGATGAGGGGGACTACCGCCCCTTAAACCCCGCCCAAACATTAGTGGGCCACATCTCCTTTCTGGCAACCCCCTGATGTATCTTTTGGATAGGGGGCGGCGCCGAAAAAGTAGTCACTTTTTTAAACCATATTTCTCAAACAAAAACAAGTGTTTGGGGCCTATTATTTGAGACAACAAAAAGGGGATGTGAAATAGCGTTAAAAGGCGTGTATATTGAGTTATGACTTAACAGAAAATGATGAAAATATCTGAAATTACCCAAATTTGCGTTTTCCATGTTAAAACATGGTCTATATATTTTTGAAGATAAATTGTTGTTTTGTAGATATTTTTTTTTCATTAACATAAAATGATGAAAATGCCTAAAATTACCCAGATCGCGTTTTTATATATTATAACATGGCCTTACATTACAATTTTGAAGAAACATTGTTGTTTTGTAGAATTTTTTCATTAACAGAAAATGATGAAAATACCTGAAATTACCCAAAATTACGTTTTTCCATGTTAAAACAAGGCCTAACATATAATTTTAAAGAAAAATTTTGTCACACAAAAATGTTTTTTACCATTTTGTACACTAGATAGAAAGTGGGTATATGTTTTATAGTTTCCTGGTGCATATCACTATGTCCATTTCCACAATGGTGTAAGGTAAGGGGTGTGGACCATAAATAAATTGGACATAGTAGTAAATGTGTTTTCTATAAACCTTTAAACGTTGCAATTTCCAAGATTCGTCATTCAATTTATTTTTAATCAGACAAATTCAAGAAGGGGCTTTTAAAACCTCATATGTTGGTAATTTTAACATTCATTTTATGTAATGCTACTGATTTAGTTTTTAATTTTTTCAGTGATTGTTGATCTATCAGACGCTTTAATATCAACCATAATTGCATGTTTGTTCTATAATTAAGTAATAAAAATGATTTCAATTTACGTAAACGGTAATATTTTAATGACTTTTCAAGAACGTTGTCATTGAACATTTGGACGTCAAGTGTCCAATACCTGACATTTTATATTAGCTATTATCATTAGCAGAGTGAATAATAGAATATCCAAAACTTCAGCATTTACTGCTGAAATATTTTATATCAAGTTAAAAATAGAAAATTAAAACACCAAAACTGTTATTGAATTAAATCAGCATCATGGACATATCTGTCCGGACACATGGTACTGTTATGTGGACAATTAAGGTTAGTTTAATACCCTCTTTCACAGGCCTCAGATATGTCAACGCAATCAGAAATACACAAAACAATTCATTAGCTAGGTTAGCTGTACTGTGTCGAATTTTCAGATTTCTAGCTTTAGCTTTAAAATTATGAAATATGAAAGGATACATGTTTAAGAAGTGTCCGGTTGGTGCTCCCCGATCAGTGGAATCATTACTTATTAATAACAAAACCAAAACGAAAGCTATATAAATGCTGCAAAGATCGTTATATGAATTTTGAAAAAGAATACTTCAGAAATACATGTATGACAGAAATATGTATGTATCTTTCCTTTCGATTTTATCGTTTAATTTTAAGAGTTTTATATTCATATTCGAAAAAAATAAAATCAAACAAAAATGCCGGTTGTTCAAGCTTAAAAAATGTTTTTTCATTACTTACGAAAGAGGGAAATAGTAATTGTATGATTGGAACATTGATTTTACATTTGTAGGGAAAGGTCGTCTGTATTTAAGTCAGGCATATGCGTATTAGGCAGTTTGGAATAACTTTATCATACTACTCAAACGCTTATATTTCTATATTTATTTCACTATGTGATATTCATTTCTAGCTCAATTTTAGTTATATCAAACGTTATCTGCATTATGTCGATCAAATGATTTGACGATATGCATTTAATCTAGAAAATTGAATGTAGCATTAGTCTTATTTCGTGTTGTTTCATGAATAACTTGAACTTCGAACTCCGTACCACCACACGTAATCTGTACTAAAGTGCCCCCGACATTTCCCTCGTTGTCCGTACAGTCTACATATAATTCTCCAACTTTAAAACAGTCAGGTTCATCAACAAATAAAGGATCAGCACGCTGTGATGCAAATAATTTTAGACTATACGTATTACCTCCAAAGGAGGGTGTTATACATCTACCACTTGTAAACATACCAGGTGACGTTTCTTCACCCTTTCTAATCAAACTTTCGAACATCGAACCACGAACACGTTTCTGACCGTGAAGTCTCTCTCTTGGGTGTTTAAGTGGGTCATAAGAACCTCGTATTCCAAACCCGTAGGTATATGGACTGATCCTAACACTGATGTCCTTTCTGTCATGTCCATATATAACTGCCCCTTTTAGAACCGACAAACCTGCATCTTCAGGCAGTAAAATATTTTTATCAACAAATGAAGATTTGACTGCTTTAAATAACATTTGGGACTCTGAAAACCCACCAACCATCAAAATTGTATTGGTGTTTGCTGTTGCTTCTTCGTGTAGAATACTTTTCATATGTTCTGTAAGATGTTCCGTTGTAAAACTAAAAAAGTTTTTAAAAAGACTGCTATCAAACAAAATCTTATCTGCCGTAAACTTCACCTTTCCATTAAGTTCATCATCTCTCTCAATTTTTTCCTTTACGCTTTTTGAGTTTACATCTTTATAAATATTAGACAGCGAAACGGGTATTTTAAGTTTTACTTTCGATTTAAGATCTGGCGTTATAGACCTTTTCCTTACTTCAAACTCTCTTTGAAGGTCGAGAAAATCGTCTTTGTGTTCATCTTGGAATCTCTTCATTACAATTTTACCAACAATTCCTGTCAAAAAATCTTGGAAAGCTTTATCAACCACTGTACCGCCCCAGTTTCCACCATTAGCTTGAAATATCTCTCTTAATGTTCCATCAGTGCATACTTCATGAACTATAATGTCAATCGTTCCACCTATATTTTGATATTAATTTACATGCTGTGACATAACTGTAGAAACAAATGAATATTAAAAGAACTTAGCTTAATATACACCATTACATATAGTTAAAGATCTACTTTATATAACTTTATGTTAATACATGTATGTATATTTTGTAATGTACTATTACCCAAACAAGCTGCCATGACAAGATACTATTGTGTTTATAAATTTTATGTATTCATGTGTATGGGCCGATGGCTTGGATGCTAACTTCAAAATCACTTGTAATTGCATGATCAAGTAAATGTACGTAATTACAGACATAAATCAACAGAGAAAGTGTATAAAACCGTTTTGTTTTGTGTTAAAGTGAATATTATTAAATAAATAAGAAACACGTGAGTATTAAAATGAAACAACAAAATACCAACTGACCTTTTGTTATCATACAAGTGCATATATCATCGGAAAACAAAGGAAAACAAGAACGTGTCTGTTAAACACAAATGTCCCCGGCTCAGATTCTTCTCAGTTAAGGACGGAAAATTGCCAAAAAAAATGTAAACACAATTATATAACTTGACAGAGTCATGGCATTTTGCAATTGTGAAAAATGTAAGTTGGCAAGTCATTGCTATGACTTGTGATTAAGTTGAAAAATATTCAACTTTATCAAATACTAGTATCTTTGCATGTAAATGCAAGAGTACCTTGAACCCAACAACCCCAAACTCCATCCGAACTTTAATGACCACCTTGTAAATATGGGTAATTTGTAAAAAATACAAAATATAAAAAAGCTTAAAAAATCTATAGTCATTACATTTGTTACATTGACTTGTGACTCCCTACACTGGACTATTCAAGGTTTGTTCCTTTCAATAGGAAAAACTTCAGGCTACAAATATGGCTGAATTAGCCAATGTATAAAAAATTTTGGAAGCCCTTGACTTCGACCCACTGACCCCTTACTCAATCAAAACAAAATTACAAGATATCTTTTTTCCAAATATGAAAGACATCTGTCAATAACTATAGGCAATATGGAAAAAAGTGTAAAAATCTATTTTAGCGCAGGTGACCTTGACCCAACTGACCCATAACTCCATCCAAAGGAAGGAAGAATACCATACACGTTATATGTCTATCAAATAAGACATACACATGTCAATAAATGAAGGCAGTACGGACAAATGCATAAAAATCTATCTTTAGCACTGGTCACCTTGATCCACCTGACCGCCAACTCTATCCAAAGGAAAAATACCAAGCAAGTTATCTCCCTACCAGAATGAAATACATTTGTCAATAAATAAAGGATATATGAGCAAAAATGAAAAAAAAATCTATTTTTAGCGCTGGTGACATTGACCAACTAACCCTTACCTCAATCAGGAGAAAGAATACCATGCAATACCTCACCCTACCACCCAGCCTCCGACCGATGCAACTTATGCCTATGGGAGAAATTCTACATTTTTTGCAAACAAGAAAACGTTACACTTAACAAAAGAAACGAACTTGTATCAGCCTGCAGACATTATAGGAAATACCTATTAAGCAACTGTAAAAACGAACAGTAATAATATAGTTACGTCCCTTTATTGAGAACTACCATTTACTCTTCTGATGATTGCGTTTTGCGCATGAGACTAATTAGAAAAGGTAAATGTGTTTTGCAATATGTTGACTGAATTTAAATCAATATATATATATACAACAAGATTAATAGATATAATAAATATAATCAAGTAAACACAAATATTTGTTTCTTACTTATATATGATAAAAGATATACTGTATATTAATATAAATTCACATTGATTGTCAATAAAAAAACACAAAAAAAAGCAAAAAAACAAAAAAAATGTGCGTATAGAGGCCTGTATGAATGCTTCTCATTTAGGTGTCTGATTATATTTTAAAAATCTTTTATGTTGCTATAATTTCCTTATCGTTATTCTGATATAAAATATAAGGTTACTCATCATCAAGGGATAATTTTTGAATAAAATTATGCCACAAATTATTAAAAGAAATTACATCTCCATTTAAAAAAGCTATATTCGTTTTTTTAGTGCTGAAAAGGGCAATAACTTTGAAAAAATGAAAACCATAGTTATGTAACTTGCCCAGATCATTGATTTGTGTTGATTATTAAGTGTGTAAATTATGAGGCCATTGGAAAAGATAGAACATGAGAAAAATCCAACTTGCAGTTTTAGGTTAACTTCGTATGGACGGACGGGTGTACTTACAAAATGGTACTTTTGTGACTTTTCCTTTGATATTCTTAGCCATTTTTAGTCACACAAGGCTTAAAAAAGACGCACAAGTAAAAACTGAATAAATAGGATCAAAGAGAATTTACTGTAACCTATTATTCTCCAAGTCACACAAGTACCTCTGGGTTTGTACCGACAGACGGGCGGTTCAAATACTATATGCCCGAGGGCATAAAAACAACATCTAATGTTAATTGCCTACGGCATGTAAAATCTCTTATAAAAAGATAAACATAATTACCTCCAGCGTCAACAACCATATATCTCGCACCAGGTTCGAATAAAGATAGTACTTTTGACTCTGCTTTCCCATCTTTCGGTTTCGGTATTGTGAAGTATTTACAATATAAAGAAGCTGCCTCTGGTTCCAAAGCTATCATAAGATTTTGTGACTGTATACCAGCCTGTAAAATATTATTATATCATCTTCAGTATCGTAAACCAACCGTCACAGAAAAGGATAAATGTTGACAATAATATATATACATACATCAATCTAAAGTTTATCTGACTCAGATACGGTAGCTTATTTACTCCACGTCGTATTTTTGTCGCACAAATATACGTTGACGATTCTTCGAGTTATCGCATTTTCGCATTCTCGAAGCGAAACGACAAATACAGACAAAAATACGACACATGTCATGTGTCATGTTTTTGTCTCTTATTTGCTGTGTAACTTCTTTTTTGTTTACTACGTTTTATGTTGTTGTTTTGTTTTTTTTTGTTGTTTTTTTGTCTTCACTTTATCGTATTATTTTATATCTTCTTCTTATCATTGTTATATTTTCGCTTTATTGCATTCTCGTTTTTTTGCTAATGTTGTTTTATCGCTTCTATGTAGTGCTGTTACATAAGTGCAAATTTATTAAAGGTATACTATATACCACAGCATGGCAATAATGGAGTCAAAATCAACTAATGAATTGAATAATTACTTCAATAGGAATGGTTTAAATAATATTAATGTTTTATTACAAAGTGAATGTTTTCACATTTAGCAAGCTCCGCAACTCGATAATGCAGCAATTCGACTATGCAATAAAACGACATTAAAAAAGTAAAAAAATGCAATTACACGAAAAAGCGAAAACACGACTTTGTTTTTAATTTTGATGTTAGATTAAAACAAAACACTGATTTCTTAAGAAAAAGAAATTTATTTACTTCAATGGCACATTCTCTCATAAACTGTTTAGCTGGCGGGGTCCATATTGCAGGCACAGTTAACACCCACTGTATTTCCTCTTCTTTCAGTTCTACAGTAAGTTTCTTCTCAGTTTCTTTCAGCAAATCGTCTTTGAGATATCTAATCACCATAGCAAATACACGTTTAGCGGGTAGACGTTTACCTTTGTCGTCTTCAAGCTCCTCATTTCTAGTTAGTTTCTGCAAACAATTTTAGCCCGTTTTATTCATTTGTACATGTTAAAATGAATAAAGAATGTCACAATATTCGGCAGTCGATTGAATTACTAAATGTATATTAAAATTGCAAAAGTAATTTGCACATTAAGTTTCAATGACGTATGCTCTAAAATGTGTACGGCGCAAGTTAATCAATAATAATATCAATTAATCAACCAAAAGGTACCAGAATGAAACCCGTTGTATAACATAAAATATTTTCTTAACTCCAGTACAATATTTTATCGATGATACATCGTAACACAGTCAAGACCAATTTAAAGTACAATGTATAGTAATGATCTGGAATCAATTATGATTATGTTAAGTAAGATATGATGTTTGCATATCCTTTAACAAAAGAATACTTATTGCAAAACTATTAAACTTTCAATATGTAATTCTTAGGACTGACTACTTCATGATTACAAACAATTCTATGACTTTGATTGACATATTTATCCTCACTATCGATTTAGGAGTAAAATATATTTTTATTTTATCACCTTGGTGTCAAATAGCATCATTTTGAAGCGTTCGAAGTAGTAGTATGTTCTATGTTCCTTTTCGTCTGCTAACTCCGCGTACCTGTCCTCTGCCTCGTAACCAAATGCTTCAAGTGTGTGTCCATCCGGTTGTATCAGAACTGTTGTGGGTGCTTTCATAGAAATATTCTTTCCACTGTTCCTATCGGGGTAGTGACATATTTATTATATGGTATTTGGAAAGGATGGTGAAAAGTTTTCATCGGATCATATACCAGTAATGTCTTTATCGGTTCTTATCAGAATACCGTTAGGATTTCAAACGAATTAGAAAAGAACTTATGTAAATCTACGTACATACAATAATTTGTTGGATACTGGGAGATTCCAAAATCCAATAAAGAAATTGTAAATACGCTTAAATAAAAAGGTAAAATTGTAGATTTGGTTTGATTGTATTTGCTCGTAGGGGATAATTGTAATAGACTAAATTGCCCTAATGTTCAAAGTTACTGTAGCAGGTTGAACAGTTTTCAATCTTTATCAGGGACTTAAAAATAATGTCAAACCTTATTTTGTTGGGGTTTTTTATCCTGAGCTATCAAAATAACATTATATAAAGAGATGTGAAAGCTGTAGTTTTCATTTCTCAAAAAACTGTATTGATAAACTTCTGAAAACTAAATCAGATTGAATAAGGAAGTGAGGGATTGAAATATTCAACCGATGTGAAGTAGTGTAGGGTTTTATAATTAATCAAGTGATAAACTGTGCACATAAAGATGCTAGGCCTCAGTAGTGCCAAAGCCCACTAGTAAATATAAATTGGGCACCCAATTAGTTTAAAATCTAACAGAATAAAATAATTAAGACTTTATTATTAATGTATTGTACATATCAAAGGATGTTAATCGAGGGACGATCTCATGTTGCATTGTATATGGCCTGTAATGAAACGTTTAATGAAAGGTTAACATTTAGCACGTCTTTACTCTATGTTTGTATAACGCAAATGACGTCACGTCAAAATATAGTACGGCAGTGCAATACCACTTTTAATAGAGTCGCAAAATCGGCACGAGTATCTAATAAAATATGGTTCGGTGACCTTATTATCAAAAAATACCTACCAATGTTTGCAGGATATTTTTGTTGGATCCGATTTATAATCATTGTCAAAAGAAAAACCCCAGCCAGAAAATGTTGTCCCAAAATCAATGGCTGCAACCATCAACTTTTTAGTTTCTTTTTCAGTTATCTGCAATTTGAAAAGTAAACGTGTTTGTATTTTCTGTAAGCAAAAAAAGAGACAAACAAAATAACAAAAACAAAAAAAAGCAAGCTTTTTTTATATTTCAGCTAAACAAGTTCTGTCCATGGTACGGTATTCATATGAAAATTATGTTTTTTTTTTCTATAATACATTATAATGATAGTATCCAGAAATTCTTTTTCATGTATCTTTTACCAGGGGAATTGAAGCTTCCGTTCAAACATCGTAAGTGAAGTTTTGTTTTTTAGCATTGGAATAATTGAAAAAGGTGGGTATTCACACAATTTCACAATTTGAATAATGGTCATAGTACAATTTTCTAGATAATCCTTACTTTCGATTTCACACTTGCCATTTCCTCAACAATCTCCAATTTACCGGATAAGTTGTCGCATTCACTGAAACAATTTATAAATATGTTTTATTTGTTTAAAAATAAATCCAATAAATCTTTCATATTTCTTCAAAAGATTCGTTTTACATTTCGTTCGATTTTTAGAAAAGAGAAGTACGACTTATATACATGTATATCATTTTCAATATTCACAATACCTTTTTAATTCTACCTTACACTTTTTTGAAAGGAAGTATATTATACCTTTTATCAAAATAAAAGGAATGACTGAATAAATCGCTGTTATAAATTTAAAGTTCTACTTGAAAGTGTATGCCAAAGATAAACATTATTGATTGATCAAACCGCAAAAGTATATATATCTACCTACAGTAGCTAGATTTATTATGTAAAAAAAGTCTTGTCCTGGATTTGAATTTGAAACTGGTCATTATTCATTTCAAGGATTTTAAGATAATTATAAGATAAATAGTCTTGGTATAATTATCTTCAAAACTGCTTAATTATTGTTAAGCTCACCAAAGAGATACATAAAATAGCCGACTTTGTTTATTCAAGAATACGATCGTATCAAGAAATTCTTCTTCATATTTCTTTTACCAGGGAATTTCGCTTGAATATACCTCTAGATGCGTCCCTTCCAGCACATAAACAAATCTATGAAATATTTAATCATTTAATTAAAACCTGTTCTGATTCAAAAGGTGCTGCGTATACCCTCGCGATTAAGTTTTATTACGGTATGGCCGTTGAAAAGATATTGTCGCCCCCATTCAGGTATATAAAATGTTATTTTTATTATAATTCTATATATTTCGGTTAATATATTATTATTAATATCCATCAATTTATCAAGCAATCGACCATAATTAAAAAGAAAATACCTCATAAAAAGCGATTTCTCTTCATAACTGCGCAAAACGTTCCTTAATAGTTTCCTTTTCCAATTAAGGAAGTAATATATGCCATTATTTGCAATGGGCATGCGCTGACTGTAACGAGATGTACGTAAATGATAAAGATAAATATAAATTTTTACGACTGGTTTAAGTTTTAAGAACTACGCAATGAGCGATTAACAAAGTGTAATGAACTTATATTTATCACAATTTTAGGCCTTAATTCAAAATGACATAACTTGAACATTCAAACATGTGTATATGTACACATTTTCATTTTTAATTTGAAAAAAAAACCCGTCCACTGGTTTGAAGACAATGTTTTCACTTTGGTAAGGATAAGATCACAGGTCAAATATAAATTGCTTTTTTGATGAACAAAGGCCCACATTAAAAAAAATAATTGATAGATATATTTTCAACAATTTCATAAGAAAACTAAACCAAAGATGTCACATCGCAAAAATGATGTTTTGACAGAAAATGCCTTCTAGGACTCCACTGAGTTTGTTCGTTTTTTTTTATTAATGTTTTTGACATGACAGGCCTGAACATTTGTTTTCAATATTTTTAAACCATTTGATATAGGTCTTTTCCAATTGTTTGTATTTATATCATTCGCTAACTTCATTTATCCAGAGTAATCATTTCTATTGTGAAAATGACTTAAAAATGACAAAGGTTTAAATGTTTTCAACTCAAATCAAGCTTAGAATCTATCTCAGGTATTGTAAAAAATATGTGACAAATGTCAACTCTCATTCTGTTTGTCTTACTTATTTCTTAATACATTTAATTATTGTTCCTTCGCAGGTGTCCGTTTTCGTGCCTGAAATAATGCATGAAGAGGGTACCGATGTACATGTTCTCTTCCAATAGGAAATCATAAGGCCTTAACATGGAAGTTTTGACTTTAAAAAGCGCATGTGTGTTACACATTTTCAATCTATGGAGTCATACGCTACTATTTTCTCCTTTGCAAAAAAGATACATTTAACATTTCATAGCTGCCATTCTCTAGGCATCTTAATTGCATTGTTATCATTGATATGTTTAAATTGCATAGAGTACTGTTTTAAATGAAATTCAAATGAACTTTCTGTAAACAATTTGGCTTCTACTGAAAGACCATGGTCTCATACTCGTTTTTTCAGAGTTTAATACCACGACATAAGTAACCCATAGTATTTGATAAATGACAATTTTAAAGAAGCACATACATGTATATATCTCTGTGTGTAAGGAATAATAAACAGGATAATAAAAGATCAAAAAGGCAAACTTGCCTTATGATAAGTAGTTACTATAAATATATCAGCTTAGAGTTATAAATATTAAATTTTGTGTTTATAAAGGTAGCATGGAAATACATTCAGATTCTGTATTATGAATCTCTGTAGGTACCATTCCAAGCATTCAATAGTCATCTCTTGCAAATGAAAACAAAATCTTCTTTTTTCAGGGTTTTTCAAAAAGAAACTGTTTTTTCAAAGACCATATCCTTAGGTTTGGTGAAAGCTACAGGGAAATGCATAAAACATAACTATCAAAGGTGAAAAATGTAGAGCTACTAATTCACTTAAAAGACGATGCACCGATTCACGAGCGATATTTAAGCGTAACTTGTTTGTTCATAAGACATTTAAACTATTGTACATGTAAAGTGTGAAAAAATGAATTATTTTCATAATTTATTATTTTCAGTACATTAAAAACAATTCTACACGTGTTTCTAAAACGGCATTTTTTTAATATGTTTAGACCAAATAATTTTTTAGATATTATTTTCAGTCTTTCAAAAACAAGCTCAGTGATATAAGGTTTGCGATTTGAGTCTATTTAATCGTTCGAATAATGTAAATTTCACTACATTTATTCATATTTTATTTGAAAAATACGATAAATTTGTAAATATATTAATATAAATATTAATAAATTGGCATTTTAAGAATAAACACACAAACAAAACATGTGTATTATTCAAGATTTTCATTTCACTTCTGTATTACCAATTCTCCTTCTAAAATTGCCTTTTACATTGTTTGATGGTTTTGGAAACTATCAATGAATATATAAATGAATTTGATGATTGTATGACATCTAAAATAGTTGTTTAACACGAAATGAATGTTCTACTTTGATAAAAACACTTAACAGATAATTAAACAGCAATTGACAGCTGTCATATATAGCATAAATATTGTTCATATTGCCAAGTCTCTGGAGAGCAAATCTTTAGGAAAAAAATTGTATTGAATTATATACAGTGGCTATTAACATTATCAGTGTTTTAAGAATATTGTATTTTTTAAGGGATAAGATTTAATTTGATTACTAAAGGTCATATATAGTTGATTTTACTGGAGATTTAATGTTTAGCTCGTTATGGTTTGTACATAATTAGATTGTTACAAAACAAACAAAAAATGATACTCAAAATGTTCCTGCATATAACTTAACATTGGCTTAAAAGACTCTTTTAGATTTTTTTTTAAATGTATACAAAATTAATTTATTTTTCATACAGTTAACAATTGCACAGATTGTCAATAGCCTTTTTTGGTACATGCACTAAGAACAGTTATTTATAATCAGATATACCCCCAATCTTAATACAGAACGAAATATTTCTACACAAATATACTCTTATTTATAAGATATAATAAAATAATACAAGTTTGCTACTTTGCATTTTGTATATAATACAAAAATCCTTTCAGAGCAATAAAACAGATCATTGCATGTACAATTTTATATTGAGAATGCCATGTTCAGGAGAGAAAACGAAAGACAAATCATCTCTGACGCTCCCTGACAGCGGCTTACGCTGTATTTATTTTTCAATATCTGACATGCCGTATTTAAACGTATTTGAAACCAAAATTCCGTTAAAACTAGATACAAAGAAAAAGTATTCAAAATTAAGGCATTCTTTTCTGCCAAACATAATCATTGAAAACAAGTTTGGTTATTCAAGCGATTTATGATCTTTCAAACACGTCCATCCACCATCGATATAGTCTGTTGTTATCTTCGTAGTTTATTTTTCTTAATCTGAAAATTAGTATCAACTTATTGCTTTAAAAAGATTATCCGCTCCATTTAGGATAAAAATGTTATACTAGTTTCATTTCCTTAATACATTGAATTTCTGCTGAACCTAGTAAAGTTTTTCAAAGACATTGTAATTTTTCTGGTTAACCTTATTGAAAGTCGTCCTGTTTTTTCTGCTTATTCTAGTGCTAGCCCCGAGTATTAATCAGATTCCCAAGTGTTTTGATGTTCTTTCTCTTTAGTTTCATAGTCAAACATAAAAATACGTACCCTGTTGTCACAATATGAAACCCCAGAAACAGGTAACCAATGAACGAGCATCTGAATATGATATTTCTATCGCTTTCCCTTTCTCTTCCGCCACAATAAGTAAACACCAGCAAAAATGAGCCAATCATTGGGCATGCTCTGGAGTGCGGGTAACTTATACCTGCACTCCAGTTAACGGTCTGTGCATGTATATGTATACGATTTAACTCTGACATCTTTTCAACAGAAAGGTCCCCAAACTATGATATAATTATTCATTGATACACAGTCTACTATAGTATATTCATGATAAACGATAACTTGCTTTGAAAATTATTGAAAACGTATGCCATATGGGAACCATTTTAGATCAAATTGTTCATTCTAAAACAATAACATATATTCGTATATTAACTTGATCATTCTGTATGAGTTAAGCATAGATCATTCGATCTATTACATTTGACTAGGTAACAAGCTTTATTGGAAATACAAATTGCCTTAGAATTTAGAATGGTCATATGGAATTGTTTATTCTTATTGGCTGTAATAGCTTTAAATCAATTTATATCTAAACATCTTTCGTATAAAACTTCTGGGAGATAAAAATAAGGATAAATATGTATGCAATGGTAAGCAGTCAAGCCAAATCAAATTTTAAACATGGATATATTTATTCAATAAAGTGAATAATTTCATTAATTTATAACTTTTATTAGAGATTCATTTTGAGGAGCATTTAAATAAATACATGCAATGTAAATGAGGCCTTTCTGATATCATGATAGTATATCCTTCATATTACCATTGTCATCTTTTACCAGAATGGATTTTGACATATCTTTGACATATCTACTATTTGTGTCTTCAGTATTATTTATTTGCTCAGCTAACATTTATAGTTCATACCAATAAAGCACTTTCTATACAACGTGTGATCTATAAAAATTTGAGCAACCATGTGCTTGATTTGATTCCGTAGAAATACTTTGCACATATTTTTGCTAAATGAAGGAATCATAAGCACGGATATTTTATATTGGCTATTTGACTGTCTAATTGGGAGGGATGTTTTCGAATTTCCATTGCTGTTTACTCGATGGTCTGATTAACTGCCTTGATGAAACATTATCTGCATAATGCAAAAAGATAATACGATAACACTGTTCAATAATGCATACACTCTGAAATTAATAAAACATACTTCATTATTTTTCATTTAGAGTGTATGTTTTCTTATATTACTTAAGTTATTGTAAACAAGAACAAATGGTTGTCGTCTTCATACTGCCAACACGTTTTAATGAACATAATCGCTACATGATTCACATGTGAAACAGCAATATTCGTTCAAAGGTGAGCAGATAGCTTCAAACAATTCCAAATTAGAACCAATTAAAGTCTCTTTTAGTCTCGCACAAAACCAAAAACGTTTGTTTGGAATATCGAACCCTGGTAAGAGCCAACCCTGCAGGGACAGTGATGTGGAAAAGACCGGATAGATACCCTCGCTATATAAATTTAACTCGTCTTCTGCTATTTTAGCTCAAAAATAAACCAGTATCTACCCTGCTAATCTGATAAAGACATAGAAATAATTTCGACTTGTTTTCGTCCTTCGTTATTCCTTGCACTCAGCTGGGTTTTCTAGAGGCTATGTTTACAAATGGCTTGTACTGTACATAACATAAATTGATATAACAATATTTTCAACTATTATCTTCATAATTCTACAAAATGTGATTTTAAGAAGGACTGTAGAAAGATTCGTTTAA